TGGGATGTTCTTCACAGATACGTCTTGCTTCTCGCCAGTCACGGTGATCGATAGCCTTAATTAACACGTTTCTGTGAAATAATACACAAGCAAAGTTTGTAACTGAATCATACATTATATTTTCCTTTGACATGATATTAAATAACAGACTACTTTCATTAACCCTGAATGATGAATTTTAATATTCAACATTTTCACCAGGCCTGTAACCAAGGGATGTGATGGATGCAGAAACATCACCGAAATCAGAAAAGCTCCACATTCTTAAGACAATCGAGAATGTACTTCCTTAAAAATGCAATCCTGGACATGGTCAAGATCACCATCGTCAGGGTTAACAATATTACGAAAATATTTTAATATTAAACAGTTTTTTATTTTACATGAAAATAAGTACAGTAGTTCCAAAATCAATTTTTATTCATATTTTTTATGTATGTTACAAATCATCAAAAGCATCTTTGTTTTCAACCATCATAAAGAAAAATCATACCATATTATTTCTTTGGATCCAGATATGATTGCAAAATAACATTTATGTCAATCCATTTAGCCGAAATTATTTTTTAAATATATTTTGTTAAATTTTATCATTGGTTCATGTTTTCCATATACTCACTGTTTAAAGGGCAGATACTCCATGGTTCTCTAACAGTTCTTCTTTAAGTGTGTGCACAGTATGGCTAACATATTTATTACCGAGATGCTCTGCAGTATAACAATCATGCATTACAATCTACTGTATAATTGCCTGTTTTCATCTTCTGTTTCTGGCTGGATATATTGGTATCAACTTTCTGTATGAAAAGCATGTGTTTAGTATACATTAAAACAATTGTGAGAATTAACCAGAACTAAGGCAGGCCTACAGGTATACTAGACATGACCATATCCTGAACCTCATGCAGGTGTAGAGGGGAGGAGTGTTTGAGGAAGCATATGCCAGCTCAATGGCTGTAACCACCCAATTCACTTACTGTACACAAATTTTTTGAATGATAACATAATAGCCTTCACAGGATATGCTAGTTTGTCCTCAGCTAGCCACCTGAAAAAGATGCAATTTTTTTTTTTCTTCTCTGTTGTTGTTAAGGGCCTTGAGGTTGTGTCAACGTGAGGCACTATATAAACCCAGAATTATTATTATTATTATTATTATGAATACATGTGGCAGTGAGAAGGTCAAGGTTTGTGTTAATGAAAGTCAAACCATTCAAAGTTTAAGCCGCATACATTCACGAACAACATCATTGGACAATGGACTACCAGCAGGTACGTATGTCTATGCAAAATGTCAGTTTTGTATTTTCTTTTTTTTTTGGCTGATTTTTAATGGAATTCTAATCATGGCAGTTACATTGTTTTTCAAAAAGAGTTTCATTAAACTATATTTTAACATTAACTACTGTACATAAAAATAAAAAGTTGTTTAATTTGAAATCAGTTGGTTTATTGTGTTATTTGATTTTGTTATTACGGACAAAAATAAGAAAAATACACATGTCCACATTGTAAGTTTCATTCAAGGTGACAAATAATCTGAGTTCCTAGTCTTTAACGCTTTGTGTTATACATGCATGAAACACAATCCAAAACATAGGTTCACCTGGTATTGCCAGTCAATTTTGGAACAGCAAATAAAAATATGATTGTAAAGAAAGCGCCCTACCTATCTTTACTTTTTTTGGCCAAAACTCAAACCTAACAAATAGATATCAAAATAAA